CTTCCTTTGTTCCTTATGTGTGTATGGGGTCCATCAGGGAGCTATTCATTGTCCAGCTCTCAACACCCCCTCATCCTCAAGCACTGAAGGAAAGCCTCAGCTCTCTCCACCCAGCTGCCCCCAAGGAAGAGGGGCTCACGCCACCGTTGCTCTTACCCCAGCCTCTCGCGACTGCACTGCTCACGGTGTTTTGCGACATTTGTGGAAGTGGTAAATACTCAGTCACCCATGCTGCTGCAGGATACCTAAATCAACTTTATTCACAATCACAGTTATCCAATTTTTCACAATGAGTTATTCTTCTCTTTAAACAGAACACAAAACATCTTAAAGTAAAGCAATGAAATGTAAATGACACAAGAACACAGAGGTACGTGGGAACCTACACCAGTCAAACAAAACAAAAGGTTAGGATTGTTATTACTGTTACTGCTTTTGCTGTTTGTTTTTTTTTTTCTCCCTGGAGAAAGCCTTGCTCTCCTCCTCCCTGCTCACAACCAGAGGCCAGCTGATGCCAGGAGCAGGACTTAACCCCAATTTTTGAGCTTGGATGCTGGGGGAGCTTTCAGCTTCTGCTAACTCCTAGAGTTGGTCCACAGTAAAACAAACACAGTTATATATATTAAAACACTCTGAATTCAAAAGGTGAAAAGGGAATTCACACCACTGCACTGGTACCCATGGATGGAGTTTCTTGAAAAACAAAACGTACCCCTTGGCTTGCACTGCGCGGAGGGGAACCAGTCCCACTGGTGTGGTGAAGGCTCAGCTGCTTATTGCACGTTTCCCCACATCCACTCTTTCATCGACACCTTCCCACCCCTTGGGTTCTTTCCACTGGAGTTTGTGTAACTACTGCAACAGGCTCCCTGTGTGTGCTGGTCACAGCTCTGTCCTTGGGCAAGCTGGAGGCTGGCTGCATGCCTGCGGATGAGCCGGGCTCCTAGCATGGCTGCTGTGCCTTCCCCCAGGCATGTGCCACCCCAGCCTCTTCTCACCCCTCAGTGAGGGTGTCTGGGCACAGCAGCCAGGATGCTCTGGGGCTTTTGACAGCTGGCCTAGAGTTCAGGGCAGGGGAGGGATGGGTTAGGGGTATACATGAGAGGTATGCAAAGAAATAACGTAAATCCCTGTAGCCAGAGTATCAGCGTTCAAGTTACTGACACCTGCCAGAGCAGGCTGGGGGTAGCTGCAGACAGCCATGGTAGGCTGCAGTGATGGTGGCACCTTTAGAGAAAGGCTCTACGATGTGCTCTCCAGCTGTTAGCCTCTTTTTTTCATTTCCTTGAGGGGACAGGGCAAGGACATGTTTTCCAGGCACTCTTGACAGCAGCCCCTGCGAGTGCTCTTTCACGCACCTGATGCCTGGGGGGCATGATGCCCTCTGCAGCCAGCAGCTGTGTATATTAAGTGCTTTTATACCTATGCCATGCTGTTCCCCCATGTCCTATCAGTGGCCATATGCTGGGTTGCACGAAAAGGTTCGGCAGGAGGGGTACAACTCCATGGCCTTCCCCAGCCTGGCTCTGTGGGCAGCGTGGCGGGGTGAATGCCACTGCTGCTGCACCCTAGCCCTGATCACCCCTTAGGGCCCAGACACCATCCCTACCTCCCGTGTGGCCCTGGAAGGCAGCAGGATGGGGCTGGAGGGGAGGGAGGCAGCTCCTGCTGCTGCAGAGCCACCCTGCGCCCGGCCCTGACAGAGTGGCAGTTGTCATGGCAACCATGGGGGCCACCATTGCAGGCACCCACTGTGGGGACAGCGGGGTTCCCAACTGGGGCAGGAGGGAAGGGGATTTATTTAAATAAACTAAAGCAAAACAAATGCCTCAAGCTATTTTTTTTTTTCTTTCCTTTCTTCCTAACACGTAAGGACAGCCATGTCTTGCTGGCAGGCTGGCTGTGATGGGCTGAGTAACACCTGGCTGGTTTTGTCTTAAAGCAAAGTGATAAAGTTACCAGTAAATGAAACCCACAGACATGTGGGTTTCTACATTCTTCCCCAGTGAGGACAGGGGTTTTGGTTTCTTTTTTTTCTTTTATTTTCTCCCTCACAAGTGCTGTTTGGATGGTAGGAAAGGTGAGGGAGACACATCTCCCTCTCTTGCAGGCCCATGGGGGCAGAGATGCTGCTGAATCCTTCATGCTGCGTGGAGGCCACACTCAAATCGGTGGTGGTGAGGTTTGAGAGCCGCTTATCGTGCAACAGGATGGTGACAGGAGGTGGCTGGATGCCACTGGGAAGGAGCAAGGCCAGTGCCAGTGTTGGCTGCTAAACCCACCATGAATGCCTCTGCCAGGAAACAGCGAGGGAGGAGTGGGGGACAGCCTTCATGGGGCTGCTCTTCTGCCTGCGGAAATGGGGTGGGTTTTGCTTCACAAATCCTGGGTCCTTTTCTGCGCTGGCCCCAGCCTTTCTGCTGTGAATGTGCTCACTGCACCTCCCTCGCTGGGTCAAAGCTTCCCTCGCTCTGTCCTTTCTAAGGGGCTTCCTACGGTCAGCCTGGTTGTACACCAAAACATGTTGCTTGTTTCTCCTCTTCTGCTAAGCTGTTCTCTGCACGCAGGGTGTCTCTGGAAGGAGATGTGTAGCACACAACCTTTTACCGCTTGCTGTCCCTGCTGAGCATTGGAGACTCCCCTCCGCTGTGCATGGTGTAGAAAAGGGATGATTGCATCAGCTGGTTTTTTTTTTGAGACAAAGTTTAAAATCCACAAGGGAGAGTAGTCCATCACAACTTCCCTGACACACTGGAATTCAGCTCCAGGGCTTGCTTGGAGAGTAGAAGAGCAGTGTCTAAGCTTGTCTCACCTGTTGTCTGTGGAAGAGGGGATCAGAGTGGTGGTGGGTGATGGTTTTTGAATCTCCTGGGTGATGAATAGAGACCAAGACCTGTGTTGTTTCACAGCCTCCTCCCCACCTGCCCAGTCCCCACCACAGCATCTGCTGCTCCTCTAAGTGCTGCGGTATGTTTTGATGATATCTTTGATGGCTCGTCTGCAGATGGGGCAGCAAGCGTTGGCCATCTTCTTGAGCTTCAACCCACATGAATAGCAGAGACACATGTGTCCACAGGAGTAAATGACCGTGTCTACCATGTTCTCATAGCAGATGGTGCATTCATCTCCCCAGGGCCCTGAGACGGACGGGGAGATGGGTGACTCAGGCAAGCTGATTGGAGAGTTGGGAGCTGTGCCTGAAACACAAAAAACAGGGTCACTCATGCTGCTTAAAAGTCTTCCTGGCATCCCAGGGTAATTTCTGCCCTGAAGCTAGCTACAGAGGGAGGAACCATGCTCTAGCAGAAATGGATGCTTCAGGATCAGGGGTCCTTCCTGTGACCTACTGTCCCACTCACTGAGTCCTGGTTCACACGCCAAGGCTCAGGGCAGCAGAAAAGCAGCATCTGCTGGGATCTGCTGCCCACGTAGAGCAAATGGAGAGACAGCTGCTCCCATGCAGCAGGGACAAAGAGCAGTTTCACGTTTTCAAACCACTGTCTAAACATTAACAAAGGAGGAAAAATCAGAAGGGGCAGATCAAGCCATCTGCTTTGAAAAGGGAGAGGCCGGGTGGCACATGGTGGCAGCAGCTCCCAAGACAAGCAGTGCTTCATCTCTAGGGCAGATCCAGGGACGTGGGACCACGGTGCCCAGCTGCAAATCACCCCGTGCAGATCCTTCAGGACAGGAGTGGGGTGATACCCATTTGGACAGCATCTAGCTCATAATGGGTCATTGCTTCAAGAGCTGTGAGGGACTGCAGTAATTATGCTTGCGGCACACCCGTAATGAGGCCTTCCCAATGAACACAGATAAGGCAGCAAGATAATGGGAAAATTTCTATTTCCCTCCAACCCCCCATTAAAATTCTGAATGTTTGCTGCCACCAGTTATTACACTTGAGACTGGTAGGTACCTTCAGTGAAAAATACTCTTGGTTTGGACATCAATGACAAGGATTTGGTAAGTTATATATCCCACCATCGATGCCTTGGGATCATGCAGGTGCCTAGGGTTTTAAAAATGCTGCAGAACAGCCTATCATTTTCTACTACATGTACATTTATCTAAATCTCACTGGAATTCATCGGCATATTAGAAATATCAATACTGCCTTTTTCTGAGGAGGGTACTGAACATGTGTGGAGAGGGAAGGAGGGGAGGGGGGGCTGTAGGCAAACCAGTAGCTCTAGTCTGAGCCAGCATGCAACATGTCACTGCCACACAGCTCTGCAGAAGGAGCTGTGCGTCACAGGGCCACGCACGTAACAGAAAGTGCTGCTTCCCTTGGGACCTTTCATGATGAAAAGGGTTGGAGAAATATTGCTGTCTAGGCATCCAAGCAGCTTCCACGTAAAACGGACTCAAAATAGCCTTTGCAGAGGCTCTCCCTTCCTCCCCAAGGGAGCTGACGGGAGACTCGGTTGATCATTGTGGTTTTAGAGTCCTTCTGGGAGACAAGTGTGAGACGGTGAAGGGAGGCAATGGAGGAGCAGTCAGGGCAAGGCAAAGGAAAGGCAGCAGGGGATCCCACCACACTTACCACCGATAGAGCTGCAGAGGGGGCCAGAGCCACATGTAGACAATATGGGGTCAGAAATGCCACTGCAGAGGACGGTGGGGGAATTGGGTGTAGATGTGGGCGAGCTTGGTGTGGAGAGTCCCAGCCGCTCTGCTAATATGGTGGAACCTGCACCACAAGAAAAGAAACCTACATTTACTTTTAAAAATTGGGGCTGACGAGGCACCACCACCCACTTGGCAAGTGATGTAGCTCTCAGTGCTTGTCAGGGTACGTGTTTCATCAGCCTGAAACCTAGGGAAGAGACAAAAGAAAAAAAACAAAACCAAAACCTCATATGCCTTTTTAAACGCTAGCAGCTGTCCCTGAAGAGACATAGAGCTCCCACAGCCCCTGGGGCTCATTTAGCCATCATAAACCTTTCTTTCTGCCCTTAAATGTGTCTCAGGTCTTGAAGTGCAGTTACTTTCCTTATGGTTTCATGTTCATATGCGCCCTCAGCACTATATCCAGTGATGGGCTTGTAGCCAGAAGAGGGGACAGCCTGCAGTAGGGTGGGCAGGACTCCAGCAGAAGAGCATATCACCTTGTCAAAGCACTCTTTGCTAACCCAGCACAAAACCGCACCATTCCAGGCTCTGATGTATTCATGCAAAGTCACTCAAGGACTTCCCAAACACGAGGGCTTGGCAATCAGGAAAACTTAGCTCTGCTCACTTCTCTGCCTCTGGTAGAGTGGCTTCTGTCAGAGGTGGGGTTAAGTCACCAAAATGCATTTGGCTCTGGGATGAAAAAGGACATGTCTTCCCCTCTTCAGAAATGTTTTCTCCCCTCCCTGCATGTCTGGAAGTGATGGCTCAAGAGTGCAGAGCCCCAAGTCCCTTGTAGGTGTCTTCAGCTCCATTATCGCCTGCTGTCACTGCTCACCATCACCTCAGTGTTAGCGTGCTGTCTGCCAGAAAAGCCAGCTCTGCCCCACAGCCTGCTTGGCACCCTCCTTCCATCTCAGCTTCTGTTATAACAACAAATACCTTAAAGGTTCTTCCAGAAGGTAAAAAAAAAGAGGAATGCTTAAAACTTTAGCTGCTGCAAAGGTTTTATAGGGGAATTTCATTGTTAACGATGCAGCCTGGTGTTCGGTAAGACAGTAGTGAGACAGAGGCATACACGTGCCTGAACCAAGGTATGGCTTCTTGGTGATAAGAACTAGTTTGCCTATGGTTTTAAAGTTTCTAGTTCCCCAGCTGAGAAGACAACCAGGGTAACTCCAACTCAGAACTAAAATGCTAAGACTTCTTCATGTTACCATATAAGGAGCCGAGAGACACAGAGGGTTTGGATCTTCAGTGTCCTCGATGAGTCGGAGGCTACTCTCCAGAGAAAAAGCAGCAGTAGGAGGCCAGGAAAACCCCATGCGCCAGAAAGGTCCGTCAGTTCCTATTTGCAGGGATGCTACCAAGCCAAGGAGGACCAAACCTGGGAAGCAGGGACTCCAAGTGCCAATTGTGGATTGTGCAAAAAAAGCAAAAGCACAGCAGCAGCAGATGCCAGATTCTCCTGCCCTTTTTAGCAGAACAAGACTGAGCAGTTTAAGCGTAGCACAGGGACTGAGGGAGGGTCATGTTTGGGTCAAAATCTGTTCTGCGGACTGTGTACAGGAGAAGAAGCAATAAGTTTCAGCCTTCAGTTCCTCAGTTTTACCCCTCTTCAAATGAGGACTGCTTTACTCCCAGGCACAATCTGAAGTTGAATAAGCCTCTATTAAGGGCTTTGGGGCTCTCACACTTAAGATGCTGTAGAGAGGCACCTCCTTTATCACACAGCCATGAGCTGAGGCTGGAGTTTAGCTCAGTAAATATGCAAACAGACTGATGCAGCCTGTAATGACAGCCACAAGCAATGGCCCTTCCCCTCCAATGTGACAGATGACCGTAGCAGAAACCTTGCCCTGTGGGTTACACACTGTAAACAGGCCCAGCAGGGGCACAGATTTCAGCTCATTCGCTGCACACAGAACAAGTACGAACACTGAGCAGCTGAACAAGTTTTTCAAGCCTTCGCTCTCCTCCCTGCAGCCCGGAGACATTTCTTCCATGCGGCTGACACACAGAACATTGCATTTCTAACACCAACGTGATCATTTCATTAAATGCAAAATAAAGACTATTATTAGGAGCATTTTCCTTCCTGGACTAATAGGAGAATTTGGAGGTGCCCCAAGTGTCACAGAGTATGACTGATGAAGCACGCCGGCAGCAGTGCAAACGGCCTTGCCACAGCGCAAGGAGAGCTCGTCAGTGCAGGAACCGCAGTCTTCTCTGGTGGTAGCTGGTCTGAGTCCCAGAATGGCCTTACCCAAGACCCAAGGGCCAGCACACACCTTCCCAATTCTTTCTCCTAACACAAGGCGCAGCTCTTGACTTTTCTCCAGCATAAGTATAGACTTTTGTTTAAAACAATCTGAGTTCCCTACGAGACAAGACACACTTCTCCCTTGGTGACAGAATAATCAACATAAGACTCGTTACTCATGCTGTTAATATATTGCCGGATGGTGTGCAGATACCATGACAAGGAGCATGGAATGAGATCATGTGCAGGGTGAAATGAGTGTGGCCAGCTTGGCTTAACTAAAACCAGATACTTGTGCTCAAGGCCAAACACACTTATTGTGTGCACACCGCTCCCACCAAGAGCTAGCTTTCAAATCATGATTTTAAAAAATTAAATAATTCTAAATAAATACATTTAAACATTCTTCTTCTGTCTAAAGCCTCCAGATAAATCGTCTCTGCTGCTGACTTGTCTCATGCTTGATCTCAAACATTCTGGACACAATGGAATCACCTTTAAATGGATTTGGAATCAATTCCATTTGCTGTTTTATCTTTGCAAAGTCCAATTATTAGCAAAATCCAATGCAGATTGACTCTTTCTCTGCACTTCTGTCATCGCTCTGGGAGAGGTGCAAAGAAATGAACCTATATGTCCACCCACAAAAGGAAAGAGAGTATTGTCTTTTCAGTGGAAAAGAGCATTACCATGGAATGTACAGACAACATCATGCCAGGAAAGGCTGCTAGTATGCTAAAGGTTTGTAGTTCAAAATGGTCTTGCCAAAGTGGAAATAAGATCAGAAAGAAATGGGATGGTATTCAATACGATCAAATGCAAAATGCAGCACTTAAGCAGAGATAATCAGCTACTCAAATACAGGACAGAGAATTAGTCCATTCAATTAGAAATACAGCTGTCCTACAGAAAAAGGCCTGGAGATTGCTGGAGGTCACCAGATGATCATAAATCAACAATGCTGTCCTGTTATGAAAAGATTGTGCCAATCCAGGGTCATATGAGGCTGGTTAAGGACTGGCGCAGGAGCCTGAAGGCAGTGTGGTATCTCTGTCCCTGGAAATACTCAAAACTCAACTGGACATGGTCTTGTGCTAACTTGGAAGTAAGCCCTGCTTTAAGCAGGAGGTTGGATTAGGTAATTCCATGGGGTCCCTTCCAACTTAAAATGTTGTATGATTCTATGATTTTTAGATGGCAACATTTTTCATAGGCTGCTAAAAGGAGAAAAGAAACAATCTGTTCTTTGTGAAAATTCCAGATAAGACAAGAAATCATGGGTTCAAATTCCTAAAGTATTCAGGTTAGACATTACGTAGATAGTGAAGCACTGTAAAGCAATCAGACTTCCTAGAGAGATCATGGCATCTCCATGACTAGAGCTCTTTAAGATCAGGAAGGTGAAGTAGGTAGTCTCTTGGGATCCCATCCAGCACTTATGATTTTTATGACAGTAGTCATCTGTATCCATAATTGCCCTTTTATAGAACGTCCTCACTGTGACCAAAGTACAGCAGCTGTGGCTGCCAGAGATGCTTTTGGTTCTCTGTGTCTATTGTGGTGAACAGGGTGGTTTCCCAGAACATTGCAATCCTCTCTCAGGGGTATCTCCTGAGGCTGTCCCAGCTTTTAAGCATCTCTCTTAATGGCAGCTGTCTGGGAGAGCTGTATTGCTGAAGGATTTACGTTAGTAAGAAGGCCAGATACACAGTCAATACTTCCTAAAAATACAGAAAATTTTCAATTAACACTCCCCTTTAACTAATTTATAAAAATATTATTTCTATATTTCTTTCTCATTGCAAAGTGATTATGTTGACCTGCTTGTTACTGCGTAGGCCGCAGTGAGAGAATCAGAAAACAACCACAACAACAAAACCAGGTGGGAAGAGCAATGTGCTGTCTGCATTCTTCTTCTGAATATGCTTAAGGGCATTTGCTATGATGCAAGTAAATCCCCAGGGCATCTCTGTGGCCTAGAGCGGGAAGTAGCTGACACAAATCTGTTGTGCAGCTATTCACAACCCATTGCTAGCAAGCAGTATAGTAATACTCCCAGATTCAAACTATAGCTGAGATGCAGAGAAAAGTAGAATAATGCCAAAGAGCATGTTGCTTCCTTCTTACTGTTGACTTTGGATCACTGAAGGTTGGGAAACTGCCAGTTTAAGGTGTTCATAATGCATTTCTTAATCTGGTATCTATTCCTGAGGGAGATGATAGAGATACAGGGCCATTCCTGGGACTCAAATAATGACAACAGGCTGAACTCCATCAGATTATGAAAAACATCCATCAGCCAGTGAAAGGTACCCAGTAACTTCTTGGGATTTGACCAGGGCATTCCTCATACTGTCCCAGTGTGGGGAGGAAGTGTTCATAAGGAGACAAAAGCAAAAGTCAACCCATTTTACTAAATCTCTGTCTCCCTCTCTTATCTCTTTCCTCCTCATAATTAAATTCAACATTATATAGTCCCATTGCACTTTTTCAGATCTTAACCCAGAAGGCTTGCAAGCACAATGTTTCCATCAGAGCACTGGGACTGTGCTTGTGCAAGTCTTGCAGAAACCAGGCTCCACGGGCTGAAAATGTCTGCTGCTTTGAAGTGGAAATGCGGTATTGCATAGTCTGGAGAGTTTGCGTTCAAGGTAGAAAAGAAATAAATGAGCAATACCTAGTGTTTGCAGGCTGCAAACGGGAATGAATATCATGATTTCTGCCCCCAGAATGCTTTCTGGCAATGCCAAACACCATCTCAGGTGTTTCACTCACCTTCTGCTATTTGCATTACCTGTCTAGGCTCTCAAGGACTA